AATTATTAAATATTTAAAAATTAGCTAATATTTATTTTTATAAAATTTAATTTAAAAATCTCAACATATAAATATATTTTTAAAATTAATTTTATCATAGTAGAATCAAATTATCATATCCAACCTAACAATTTAAAATTTAAGAAATTTGAATTAATTTATCCAAACAAAATATTTTAAAAATAATAGAAATTAAAATTAAAGTAATTCAAATAAAAAAAATTAAAATTTCTTGATTTTGTAAAATTTCTCATCCAAACACACCATGAGCGAAATGTCAATTCACTTCTTCCCTTCCTTTCACATTTGTTGCTTTAAAATGGAAAATTTTACATTTCATAAATTTTAAATGGATTTTCAAACACATCTTAATTTGTGTTTACAGAATGTGATTTTCGCTAGCTAAATATTACTTTAGTACCAAATCAATCTATTAGTTTGGGGTCTCACAATTATATTGTCCGTTTTAAACTTAAATCCTCACTATTTTATTTTTGGTTGTCATCCAAAAGATCTCTCAATCATTAAAATTTATATGTACAAGTTATTATTTCTTCTTTTATTTTATTGATGTGAAACTTATTTACATCTCAACATTGACTTTAAGACAAACTAAAATCAAGAAAAGTAAACTCATTTTCTTATTGTGTTAAGCTTTAAGTAGGAATAAATTATTACAACTCAACTCGCTTTCCCACTTCACCAACCCATTGCATAATAATAACCAATATTTCAACATTGACATAACCCTCAATTACAACCCTTAGATTATTTGAATCATCACACTATGTTTTCAAAAATTAAATTCCTAAATTAGTCTCTAAAATATTGTTTTAACCTCACTTCAATCCTCTAAAAATTGTCACTAAATAATAAAAAAAATGTTACTAAATTAGTCTTATTAATATTTTTGTCACCTCATAATTCTCTTCATTAGAACAAATGATATTTTACATTTTTAATAAATTAACGGTAGATTTTATCCGAAAACCTTTTTAAGACTACCAACATTTTCAAAGCATGTGAGGAACACAAGTAACACAAAAACCTCTAGTTTAAAACCGACAAAATAAATCCTAGTATTACTCCATTTTAGGGTTCCTCTCTATGGATACATATATGCTTCATAAAAAAATTAGAAGCAAATGTCCGACCACTGAATGTCACTAGAATCAACTATTACCATTAGTAAGGGAATGAAGTAAAAATCCAAAAAGTTTATCCAACAAACATTTTCATTGGTATCAAAATTCCAAAACAAAAGAGTTGTACACTTGATGCAGCTAAGAAACTACTGCTAAATTTCGATAAATATTTGGGCAATTCAAACATGATTAGCCCCAACACCATTTCTAACAAATTCCACCATAATTTAAAAGCCAGGTGTAAAAAGTAAACATCAGGACACTGTTCTATGTAGCATAACCTTAGCAACACCTGGTGTAGGACTTGAAACTGATGTTAGCTAGCAAAACCACCTACCTAATGAATGGAAACATACAGCAAGCTTATCTTAAGCTATACATCCACCATGCACACATTCTGGACAAGCTTTAATAATGATGTTTATCCAGAGCTTCAGTGCTTATATTATAGCAGGGAATCGCAAGGGCTTCCTCTTCTATTTGCTTTTTTCAATTTTCTTTTGCCAAGTAGATGAGTAACTCTAGTTTCTACGTTGACATTTAAAACATGGGCCACTGACAACAAATAGCTACACGAAATACATAATGGCCAAAAGAAAACCAATCATAATCACTTTTGCATCATATATCACCTCCTACGGTTGAAAAACACAAAATCTGGGTGATCGACCCGAAGCAGCCTTAACCAACTGTCAGCAGCCTGCACAAGAGAGCTAGCTAGTTGGTGCTCACGTCCAACATTAGGAGTCCACATAGATCCTTTGAACTTGTATGAAGCAAGACCCAACACCGGTAAGGGCATTTTAGGGACACCATCCATCTCAATAGGATGTGACACTGCAGGACTCTGCACTCCTTGTGAACCTGAAAGGAGTAATGCCTCATTAAAGCCAAATGCATCTCACAATTATTAATCTCTCGAAATCATTGATATGCATATAAAATGGGCCATGTATGCTTAAATTTGCCCAATATAAAAACCCCACTGATCAATGTGGCTTATAATGAATTTTAAATGCAGAGATAGAATACATTTTACAACTTTTTTAGAAATAAATGTAACATTCATGGATTACAAATATTTTTAGGAATAAATATAATCATTCATGCAACTCAAGAACCAGAGAAAGAAAGATCACCAATTATCAGGTGCCAAGGTATTAAAATAACCATTTACTAACATGATTTTGAAGCAAGGATGGTTGAAGAACCCAAATACAATATGAATACCACGTATACCACCTATATGCATTGAGAGGAAATAAGATATTCTAAAATGATTCCACATTTACATAAAGACTACAAATAACATATCATGAACTAGTTAAGGGATTACTGTTAACAGCCTAACAATGTGACTAATCATTTTCTTCAAAATAATATCACACCGCTGTCTTTCTCAAAATTCATTAGAAAACAAATCCAAGTACAGCAGAAATGAAGTAACAACCCATCATCCTACCTCCAACGGGGGTATAAAGGGAGTGGTATGTCAAAAAGCAAGCATCAAGATCTTTCAATGTTGGACCTGTTGGTATTCTATAAATAGGATACCTACAAGCAAAGCAAAGAAAATATCAGTCCTATATAATCCTAAAAACCCAGAATCAAAGGTCAAAATTAAAGAAAAATACCATGCTACGGATAGCCAACTAGATGGTAGAATATCACAACTTCTAAGTGTCGCCAGTTGAGGAAATCCAAATGCAAGGTCCAATATCTGTCCACCCACACACCAGAAAATATAATAAAAAGGCTAAACAAGAAATGGCAAGGACAATGTTCTGGTAAAAGTGAGAAAGGTAAGAATGAGTCGATAATGAAACAGGGAGCGCACTTTATCAGCCAAAGGCTCACGGCTAAAAGGAGGATCCTTTTCAAAATACTCAAAAAGCAAGTAGCCTTGAGATTTGAAAGATTCGCCATCATCACTAGAAAAGCCATCTAGAGGAACATCAAGGTGGTCTCCTCCCAAAGATAATCTGCCCATCCAGTCACGTACCTCATCTGACAACTGGAGCAGACTTCTATGCTCCCTTGAGCATTTAAATCTTCTTTCAGGTTCACAATCACTGCTACCATCACTGCATGAATCCCTGAAATCAGTGTCACTGTCCTCACCTAGTTGCCTATCAAAAGACAACAATATTGTTACAAACAAATACGAGAACGTAGCAGTGTTGAAGCATAAACACCACTTTGCAAATTGCAAATTTAAAATAAAGAATACCTAACTGTATTATTGCTATCCGTAAATGCCTATGCAATGCAAATAGTAATAACATCATGATCTGAATTTCACATGATACAAAAGAACAAGCATTAAATAAATTCTGCCACATGCTGAATCTGAAATTCATAATCAACTCGCAACCCAAATATAAACTGACTATTGAATGCTTCCCTATTAGTTTGCATTGCATTTAGATTCACACCTTTTCAAATATACAAAGATAGTAAATACCTCAAAGACGTAAGTTTTAAGCAATCGACACAAACAACAATAAATTGATATTTAACATTTCCAGAGAAAGAAATAAATCACATCATATGCAATCATGAGAGCAGTTTCAAAGAAATTGCAAGCATAATGAAGTATTCAAATGACATCCTCGGTAAACAAATGATTACAGCAGTATACAATATAGAAGTGCAACAAAGTTGCCCAAACAAATGCACAGTTCTTATCTAGAAAAACTGTCTTTAGCATTCGATAGCACTACATGTTAAGCTCTAAAACTAGTCAATACCATAATAACTTTTCAGATAGGAAAGCAACGAAATTGCTTTACCATTACCACACACACAACCACAATACCTTGACTGTATAGATGGTTTCACAGTTGCAGAATAAATTTGAATTCCAGAAAGATAGGGGACATAATATTGAACAACACTATCATTGTCATTCAGCACGAGTGGCACTCCTGCACCATATGCACTCCACTCTTTGAAGGACTCCCAAAGGTCGTCCAGAAGAAAGTATGGCTGACTCTCCACATCACCCGACCGAAATCCTCTCGTGGTCCTCTGCAATATTCAATTCACTATCAAGATCAAAGGAAACACATAGCTCTCAACATTTTCCTTTTATTCTCTAAAAATAATAATAACCACCCTGAAGTAACACCACAAATAAGAAAGGAATAAAGCAAGAGATTATCATGCAACCCTCCAACCATCACTAGTTAATTTTTATAATTTTTTTATAAATCCATCAACACAGAAACAATTTTTTCCCCTTCCCCTTTGCTCCAAATACTTTAATCCAAACACACCCTATCCCAAAAAATAACCAAATAAGGGTACCCTACAAAAGGCTGAGAAACATTTTATGAACCTCTTCTATGTTATGGTCATTACTAAAGGGTGTGAACACGTGTTTCCTTTGTTTTTCCTTCAAACTAAAAGCAACTTTTGAAAATAGAAATCACCAAGTAGGCTTTCCCAAAACAAACAAGCATTTTCAAGAAACTCAACTCTACCAATTATGCCAAAACTTTGTTAAAATATAAGTAAAATTTAATAAACCAAATGTTTAAGGCTACACCATTAAAGCGGTTCGAGAAAACTTTCTTCTTTTACGTTTGTTTGCATAGAAAAAGCGAAAACAAAAAACAAAAGGAAACGGATTATTTTCAGTATATTTTTTTCCATAAAACTTTTTCTCTTTCTAAGTGAAACTTGCAAAAGACAAAGTTAAAACAGTGACATTTTTTATATAATTAAAAATTAAAAATAAAAACTAAAACAAACTAGAAAATGCAAATCCTTCATCAACAATAATACTCTTTAGTAAACCAAAAAAAAAAAAAAAAAAAAAACTAAAAAAACAAAAACCTTCATAAAAAAAAAAACCTTTAATAAAACAAAAAAAAAAAAAAAAAAAAAAAAAAAAAAACCTTAGATAAATACTGAGCCGGCACTGAAGGCGTGATCGCCTGCAAGAACCGCTCGAGGTTACTCAACCGGTTCAAAACCGGTTCGCAGGAAGACACAGCTTCCGGTTCGAAAAGCCCAGTCCGGTTCTCGGGAACCGAATTTTGTGGGTCGCTGCGAACATTTAGCGCGGACCGGTTAAGGTGAACCGGATTGCAGAAGCGGTTCTCTCGGCGTCCACGAGCAAAGGTAGTACCCAACATTCCTAGAATCGAAACGAAGGGAATTACGGTTTTGAACGGAATCTGATAAACCCTGAACGTGGTCAAGGAATTGATTGGAGCAATGAGGATTGTGGGGTTTGGGTTTTTCGATGGTGCAATCAGAGAGGAAAGGGAATGAATGGATCTGGGTTGAGGGTAAGGGTCAAATTGTAATTTTGACGAATCAATCTATGGAGGAAAGGGAATGAGGGAGATTATGATTCATGAATGATGAACAAAGAACACACCAATTTTATTTTATTTTTTTTTATTTTGAGATTTTAGTAACAAAATTCTTGTTCTTAAATAGTAGTGAAGGTTAGAAAGTGTAATTCATGATTTTGTATAAAATAATTAATGAGCAGAAATTTATGTTATTAATTTTCAATGATAATTAATGATTAATTTTTCTCTTAATGTTAATTCATAAATGAAAGGGGTAAAATTAAATGTTTTAACGTTTCTTTCAAGTTTGAAGAGTTTGCGCCAGAAAAAAAGGGGGGAAAACATGTCCAAATAATAACGTTTGAATACTTTTTTATTTTTATTTTTTTTCTTTTTATACATAACGTCCCACTTTCAACCGTATTCGCAAACCATTTCAAAAAATAAAAATTTCACGGTTAGTTTCACCTAATATTTTTAAAATTTGATCGGAACCGATTTATATACTAATTTAAAATTTAATAATTTAATCGTCGAATTGGAATTAAATTTATATTACTTAGAGAAATTGAAATATTCTGTATATGTAATACTTGTATACAGATAGTATAATTATTTAGAAAGAATATAAGAAATTTTTGTGTTACATTCAAGTGGTATAATGATCTACTAAAAAGTGAAAATTAGACATTTTCTTTTTATAAAAATGTTTTGTTTATTAGCATTAAAACTCTAAGTTCAAGATATTCATAATCGTCTTTTGACTTTACAATGAATTATTGAGTAAAAAAGGTTTAAGTAGACTTACTTTTAAAGTATAGATATTATTATTATTATTATTATTATTATAATAATAATAATAATAATAATTTCAATATGGATAAATTTTTCTTTTACAACGTCTTCTCATTCAACAAATATTTCATTAAGTTTTTAAGATATTTTTTTCTCATGCAACTAATTTATATTTAATTACATGCAAAAATAAGACTTAAAATATGCATATATATATATATATATTATATAAATGTAAGTGCATTTTAAAAAAATAGAAAGACATGTTTATATAATTTATAAATGATAAAGACATGTGTGAATAGAAAATTATGTAAATATATTTTTATATTTTAAATATATATATCATATCAAAATATAATAATTAAAAATACATTAAAAATCATAACTTTTTAAATATCAAAGATTGTAAACTTAATACTCTTGTGCAAACACGAGTTAATACACTAGGAATGATGATTTTTTTTGTTTGTGGGAGATAAAGACCTTCATGAAGTGATTTCAATAAATAATAAATAGAAAAAAACAATGATTTCTTAAGAACAAAAAATGAGCATTCATGGTTTTGGATTACAGGTGTGGCTGTGCACTGTTTAGTTTTTTAAAAAATTAATATAACTTATGTTCTTCCATATTTTTGTTTTGTTTTTCTTTAGGGTCGTATCTATTTAAATGCAAAATTTTACAAGTACTGGATTTGTAAAATTGAACCAGGTGAGTGTCTGATTACAGACCCACAAGGAAACTCCTTCAAGGTTTACCTCAAAAATTTATGTAAAACTGTTGGTATCTTTAACAAAGGGGTAAATGACATGATAGATTTTTATGGTATAAAAAACAAACATATTGCTGAGTTTTGGTACAAGGGGTCAAATGAATTTAACTTGCGTATCTTTACTGCTGCTGAAGAGGAAATATCCTATCCTAAAATTAAAAACGAAAGAGGCCAGACTTCTAAAAGGTACATATAATTGCAAACTATATTTCATTAACTTTAATTTATTCATTATTTTTTTATTTATTTATTAATCTGCACTTTTAATTTTCTCAGCAAGGTTAATGTCCCATTTCTCCACCCTAAGAATGAGATTATAGATTTAACAGAGGCTGATTCACCACCACCCGAAGAACAACTTTTACAACTACCTTTTCCAACAGATCATATGCCAAGACATCCTGTTCCTTGGTTTCACACTATAACAAAATCTGCGGCGACTGGAAGACAACCTTTGGTATGGAATTACATCATTGTTTTTAAATAAACAAAATATTTTATTTCTAAAATGAATATACATAATGATGTTAATAATTCACTTTCATTGTTATTTCCAGTATTTTCCGGTCAAATACGTTGATGTTTGGGGCATAGACAAATACAATTTTTGTGTCTTAATCAACCAAGATGGACAGATGGTTGCAGCTAACATTAAAAAAACATCAACACAGCGAAACAAAAGGGAGTTTTATGTTGGGAAGGAATGGGGGCAGCTTATTAAAGGCCAACGATACAATACAGGCATACGACTTAAGATTCAAACCAAGTTGATTTTTTTTAGAGTATTATTTTTTAATTTATATGATAATTGGTTGCTGATGTTTTTTAAAATATGTTTAGGCTTTTATATATGTTTAGGCTTTTATATCATCGTCATTTGAATGACACGTTGAGGTAGGTATTTTCATCATACGAATATAACAGGGTGCTACATTTGGACATTCCATGCTTTGCTTGCATAATTTTAAGGGATAAATACAATGATGTGCTTCACATTATTTTTCAATCTAGATTATGTAAATTATACTTACGAACCATTATTTTAATTAAAAATATTTTAAATTAAATTTTAAAAATTTAAAAATTATTTTTTTAATTGGACTAGTTTAAATTGGTTTATTTTATAGATTTCTATTAGTTTTTGACCGATTCTATCGATTTTTGACCAATTCATTACAAGATGGTTCTCTAAACGAACCAAACTAGTTTTGAATCGATTATATTAGTCTTTGACTAGTTCACTATAAAATGATTTCCTTGACAAACCAAACCAATTTTGGATCAATTTTTAGTCCGACCAGCCAATTCAATATGATTTTCACAACTATGTTTCACTAATGTAAGTTAATTTAGAGTATATCTAATGGAAAATTTATGATATATTTTACCAATAAGCAATTGTGTTTATTAATAACTCGCAATAGAGTGTGATAACATGAGTTGTTTAGAAATATCTATTATGTCATATCATCACTAAGCATGTGTTTGCTTCGAATTTTGGACGTGAAAATTCATTACAGGAAGCAAAAGATTCAAGCTTCCACGTAAATTTGATTGTAAACGTGGAGAGAGAAAGAAATCTTACGTTCATAAATCAAAACCAAACACACGCTAAGTAACTCATATCTAATTTTGTTCCAAATGAAAAAAATTCTAAAAAACTTCAAAAAATTCATAATTTAATATTTTAAAATTTTGACTTGATTATGTAACAGATATTTAGTGGTCCTCATTAGATCCAAAATATTATTTTTTTTTTAAATCAACTACTTATTGAAGGAATTGAAAAAAATAAATAACTTTCATTACTACTTAGGATTACTCAAATGGAAGAGTTGCTTCAAACAACTAAAATGGTTCAACAAGCATCTCCCATTGAAAATGTTTTAAGCAACATTGCCTATAAATTAAAAGAAATTATGTTTTTAGGCTTACATTTATTACTAGTATTTAATTATTGAATAATTATCTTTTAGAAAACAGTTATAACTACATAATAAGATATGTGCATAAAACAAAATCGTAATTGGTCAATATAAATTTTCGTGTATTTCTTTTTATCAGGTAATTTCTCTTTCTTTAATATTTAATATTTTTATATACATTAAAATAATCGTGTAAAGCTTTTTATTAATTATTTTATACATGTTAAAATATACTTTTAATTAAAATATATGATAAAATAATTTTAATTCATTGTCCTTCATTTACTTGATAAAAATTTGTAAAATATAATTAAATTTAAAATAATTTATTAAAATAATAAATAAATACAATTATAAAATAAATTATATGGGTATATTTATATATATAATATATAAATTAACACACACATTTATGTTTATGTATATACAAATAAAAGTATTAAATTTTGTAATAATTATATTTTATTTAATTATAAAATTTTAGTTAAAATATATCAATTTTAAAATGCAAGTTTAATAGACATATTTTAACATTATATTTATTAAATATGATAAATAATACTTTATCAAAAATTACACAATTTATTTAGATATTTATTATATTACTTTATTAATAACTTCCTTTAAATAATACCTTATTACTTTTACATCGTCTTAAATATATATAATTAATATTATCTATAAAAATATTACATTAACCACATTATTAAAAATATCTTAATATTTTTATTAATTTTTATTATACTTATATATATATATTACTTTTATTAACTCCAAAACTATTTTTAAATATATAATTAAGTTTAACAAAATTCATAAGAATTTTTTAAATAATAATTAAATATGTAACTTAATAAATAAATTGGTAAAAGTGTAACATTTGTATTTGTTTAGGGAGGAAAGTGTTTACTTTAACACAAGAAGGGAGGGTTACATCTTTGAGAGGATATTAGTATAAAAGATATTTTGGTAATAACTTTTTTTTTTGTAACAGAAGTTAACAAACCTTAATAGAAAATTTAAAAACGGGTAAAGCATGATATGTGATACCTCTACCAAGGGGATTTGTGAACATTTGTTTAATCAATGTGAGATCCTATTCTTTTTTTCTCTCTCCCGCTGAACCCTACTCACTCCTCCCTTCACATTCCTTTCACTCTCAACTCTCACTCTTTCACTATTACTCTCTTGGTTCCCTTCTGATTTTCTCAAATCATTCATTGTGGTGAACATGTGGTGGAAGGTGTTGATCATAGAGTAGGCGGAGCTAGCTGAACCGGAGTCATCTTGTCTTCTTCTCCAATTCTTCTCTTCTCGCTGTCCCGAAGCTCGGATTCTTTGTACCGAGGTAAGGGAAGTTAGTTTTTGCTGCGTTTTTGGCTGAAAATGGGTCTAGGAACTCATTTGATTGCTGATGATTGATGGTTTTTGGCTGAGATTGCTGAAGATGGGGCTTTCGGGTTTTTTGTGGTTTGTGTGGAAATTTTGGGAATCTCATTGTTTCTGATTGCATGTGTAAAAAGATGATGTTTTTGAGCTATTGGTTGAAAATGTGGGCTTTTGGATGGATTGCATGTTGGTTTCTGGTTGT